TGATATAAATAAAGATAAGATATTCATATATATATATATATATATATATATGTCTTTATTACTATAATTATCATTTACACTATATATCAAATAAAAATGATTTATAATTTCTTCATTTGTATAGCAAGGTATTGTTCTGCATTTGACTCTTTTCTTACCTTGTAAGATGGAAGAAGTTCACCGATTGTCCTGAATTTGTGCCGTTTGTGTTTTTCTGAATCTCTGCACACTAAACACACAGACTCCTTGTCCTCCACACAGAAGAGTTTGAGTTTCTCGCCATGCAAATCACAAACCTCCTCAACGTTCAAGAAGGACTCACACAGGTTCTTCAACACAAGATTTCCAGGAGGATCGGTTTTGGAGGATCTTCTCCTGCAGACCGGACACTCCCGAGTTCTCTTGCTCCTCCAGAAGTGTTGAAGACAGTCTTTACAGACGCTGTGACTGCATGACAGAAACACGGGAGATCTGAAGACCTCACAGCACACGGGACAAGACAGCTCTTCCACAGAGAGCGACTCCATTTCAGTTTGGAAGAACTCCAAAAATCCAACTCCGACATGAACGCCTCAAGCCCTCTCATTTCCTCATTGTTGTGCTCAGGTACTTGGTAGACTCGGCATGACAGGAACAAAGAAATAAAGCCACTTCCTGATATGTTTTGTAAGAGTGTTTTTATGATGATCCTGTTTGCATAATCAAACTGAATGCACTGCAAGGATCATGCAAGAAAACAGTGTGCAAAGACATCACACCATAAAATATGAAACTAACTCATTTGACACAAGAATATTTTTAAATGACTAGTTTTTAATAGAAAACTCTTTTCCATCCATGCATGTGAGACCTGGTTATTCATTATGCATGCATTTGTAAAATATAATTTTTGACAGTTTATATGACATAACTATACATCAAAATGACAAACTGCCATTTTTACGATGTTACACACAGCCATACATTTTCATTTCATTCAGTTAGAAACAGTGCAAAAGTGTCTAAAATCATCTAGGCGTGAGAACTGAGAGCTGTTGCTATATTATATAAACACATTTCATTATTTACATAAAAAAAAAGAGCAGTAAATATTTCAAATAGCTGAAAGGTTTACATGCAAACTCATTTTCAAACCCATACTTACATTTAAAAAGAGCAAAACAAACTAATTTACAAAAATAATAAAAAGGTTTACAGAATATCCAGTGCTAAAAATGTTGAACTCGTCTGATAATAGACATTTAAAATTACATGATCAAGAAACTATGAAATACATTAAAAGAATAACTCTTCATTGTCAGTATGAAAATAGTCCATGGGTGTCAGAAACAAATCAGGTCAAACCTTAAACGGTATGCAATACACAATGATGAGTTTTAACCAGTAGTGTGTCACATGATCTTACTGTGCTGCATGTGATCTTTGAAAGAAATACAGATGTTTTAGCTGATACTGGTTCAGCGGTGTGTCTGATACAGTATCAGAACATACTGTGAACATAGCACGAGTAGTACGCTATTCCAAACATAAGCAGTGATGTTGAGACACAGTGGAATGATTAAGAGCAGATTTAAAGACAACATGAAATCAGTCCATTTACAGTCTTACTAACTCGTCCATATCTGACATAACTTATCTGTTCTGTTCATGTAACTAAAGTTCACATCATAACTTAACATGTCTCACCCAATTAAAGTCCTGGGGCCGGTTGCATAAAAGGTTTATACTAGTCTTACAAGTTAGTCATCAATTTTTGTTTTTTTTAAGACTGGTCATATGTTTTTAATGTAGTCTACATTGAATACAAAAAATAAGACTGAAAATAAGAATAAGACTGATTACACGCAGTCTTAACAAGTTTATGCAACTGGCCCCTGTCCTGTATTATTTCCCACTGAATAATAAAATAATACAATAAAACATTTCATATAGATTTTCAAATGTTTGCTTTTCATCTGACAATTTGTTGTGGAATGAAATACAAAAATAAACTTTTAAAAAAGAAAATTTCTCAATTTTTTGCTATTCATCAGATAATAAATTATGTTGTCGATATAAAATACAAATACATTTAAACAAAACAGATTTACATTTTTTGCTTTTCATTGGATAATGGGTGATGTGGGATAAATAAAATAATAAAATAAATACAAATGAATATTTTTTTTAAATGTTTGCTTTTCATTGGATAATGGGTTATTATGTGGAATAAATAAAATAAGAAAATAAATATATTTGTAAATGTTTTCTTTTCATTGGATAATGGGTTATGCAGAATAAAATATAATTTATATTAAATCAGATAATGGGTAGGATGGGATAAATACAATAAGAAAAATATGTTTTTAAATAATAGCTTTTTTTATCAGATAATGGGTTTTGTTGAATTAAAAAAAATTTCAATTTGTGCATTTCATCAGATAATGCATTGGATAATGGGTTATTATGTGGAATAAATAAAATAAGAAAATAAATATATTTGTAAATGTTTTCTTTTCATTGGATAATGGGTTATGCAGAATAAAATATAATTTATATTAAATCAGATAATGGGTAGGATAGGATGAATACAATAAGAAAAATATGTTTTTAAATAATAGCTTTTTTTTTATCAGATAATGGGTTTTGTTGAATTAAAAAAAAATTCAATTTGTGCATTTCATCAGATAATGAGTTATGTTGAATAAAATAAAATATATTAAATTGGATAATGGGTTGTGTGGGATAAATAAAATAAAAAATATTTTTAAATGTCTGTTTTTCATTGGAAAAAATATCTATCTATCTATCTATCTAAAAACTCTAAAGGTTTGCTTTTCATCAGATTAACTTCCATTGTTTCACTTTCTGTTTCCCGTCACATTGCAGAAGTTAAAGGCATTGCAAATGCAGTTTCATGATGTCTTTAACTCAGTTTAGTTTATTTTACACAACCACTGATGACAAACTATAAAACCTATCAAATGTCCATGTTGTGATGATTTTCCCGCACTAACATGGTCATGCTCTGCGGTAGAGAAAGAGGTCCATCTGTTGATGTTGTGGTTTAGTAGGCAGGTTTGTAGAGCAGTTGTCCACTGAAGAGTCTGCGCTTGAGCTCCTTCCACAGCAGGCTGCGCTCCCTCTGCGAACCCTTCATGAAGCCGCGGTTCTCCTGCGCTCGGCGCGACAGGTACGGGATGACCTCGTTCACCGGGCCGTACGGCACATACTTGTACACCGGGAATCCCGCCTGACCTGCTCACAAAAACACAAGCATGTCAACACCAGCATCAGAATCAAGACATCTGCTCCTTCCCACGCTGCTCTTCTCTCCACTCACCCAACGGGAAGCTGATCTGATCACACATCCCCAGCAGCTGTCCAAAGCAAACCTTATTCTCAGTGGGAGAGAGACTCGTCTCGTTCATTCTGTGCAGAAAAACACACGTTAGCGATAATCAATCTCTGATCGCGCCGAATGCATTTTGGCTCTGGACTCACTTTTCCAGCGTGAATTTGACCGTGTCCTCGTTGTGAGACGCCACCATGACGTTTGCCATCCTGTTGTGGTTGATCTCCTCCAGAATGTACTCCAGACACCTTACAGACAGAGATCAGGGTTCGTGAAAGCTTCCAGGAATCGATCAGTGACAGATGAATAAAAGGAAGTAATCCTAAAGTATGTGCGTCTGTTTGTAGCAACGAGTCGAAACATTCCCCTCACAGTGTGCGGGCAAATATTTACAGTGTTATTATGACGCATGTTAGTAACGTGACATTGATGGGCAAAACAAGCTTGGCACAGGCAAACAGGTGTGTTTGGTCACGAATACAGTATTCATCTGAGACAAGAGAGAGAAACTAAATTATATGTTACATTGTGTGGGGAAAATGTGCAGGATAGACACAGATGATTATATAATTCATCATGCAGAATGCCAACGGGCAGGGTTCAATCTCAGGTCATGACAATTTACAGGTTTACATGTAATGTAAAGTAAAGTAAAGTAAAAAAAAAAAAGTTTGCTTTTCACTAGATAATGGTTTCTATGGAATAACAAAAACAAATAAAATGTATATATTTCAACAATGAATATAATTTAAAATTAGATTTCCATTGTATAATGGGTTATGGAAAATAAAATAAAGTAAAATGTTTGCTCTTCAGTAGACAATGATTTATG